TCGACCCCCTCAAAAATAGCGTTGCTGCGTTGGTTGTGAACTTGTGGTGCCTGTGTTCCTCACAGTAGTTGTTTTTTTTGCTGTTACTATAGTTGGTACACCACTGTATGATCGATGAATTCAACCGAGTTTCCTTTGTTTGCATTGTTGTATAATGAATGTAACTGATTTGCCCCCCTTCGGATCTACCCTGTTTCAGTTTATTTTTTCTGAAAATTTGGTGCTACTTCCGATTGCTCACAATTATAGTTTGGCTGAAATGCACTGGAGTCTTTAAACCAACTACTTCATCTTTTTTATGTATTTTGCATTATGTTTCAGCTAATCAGAAATGCAAGCGGCAAGCCCCTGTTTGAGTTTACTTTTTCTGAAAAATTTGTTGTTACAAGCCAAGGATTGAACCAAGAAATCAAAGACGTTTTCTTTGCCTCTCACCTGGCACATTCATGCTATCTCCTCCATTGCTATCGGTAGCTTCAAGCAGTAGCAGCAGCATGCCCCATACCGTTACGTACGTGCTAATTGCTGTAGACCATGCCGACACCGGCCTCGCCTACGAGTACAACTGCGGCTACCTCGCCCTCCCATCGCACACAAGTGTTGCCGCCTACGGCGCGACCACATCTACTGCGATAGTCGTTTCGCGAGGAGCCGACTATGTCGCCGGCGGCCTCAGCACTCTCCTCCATCACAAACCTAGCCGCGGGATCTGCCATTGCAAGACTATAGGTTCAGAAAGGCCATGCTATACGAGTCTGTGTTACCCCCAAGTGTAAGATTAATCTTCTTCTTTCTTTGAACAGTATTCAAGAATTCTACCATATAGCAGTATCATCTTTGTTGCTGCACATATTTGGTTCGGGTTGGCCCAACCTAAAAAATTCACGGAAGACAAAGCTGGAAAACTATAGATGGTGCTTGCTACTCAGATCTATTCTGATGCTTTCCTTACTGTTAGTTAGTTTTTTGCATACTACTATAGCTAAACCATGAATTGTTTGTTTCTGTTAGTTAGCTTTGTGCTTCTTCATTGGTATTCAATTAACATGAAGTAACCATGATAGCTGGTGCTGAACTCATGTACATACACTCCCAGATCTTTTGTATTTACAAGGATTGGTTCATGTTATGATTTTTTCATGGAGTGACATTAGTTCCACTCTTTTATACATCTTTGCCGCAGGTCACAAAACTGCTATTCTATTTTAATTCTTTAGTGCCTACTATTGTCCCTATAGGTTTTTTTCGTGACTAATAATAAGGGTTGGATGAAGCAAATCAGACACACTTCTAAGGTTAGTCTCCTTGATCTTTTTCTACTCACGTGAGCAACTAATGTTTGCTTCTCTTCGGTCCAGGTCATAAAACTGAGGGTTGTTACTAGCAAATTGTGACTGTTTAATTGACGCCGTGATTTTTTCTAAAAGAAAAAAATTGAGAATATGATGTGTTGTCCATGTGAATACTAAAAATATATGTTTACGACGTTGATGTTAACCAGTTAATATATTTATGCACACGGTACAACACATAGTCATTTTTCTATATGTGGTAAAAAACGTTTTACACAGGGCAATCCCCCAACTGGGCCGACTCATGCTGTAGGACATCCTATACTGTGCTCTATGCGCTCTAGGAGAAGACGCAGCACGCCTGTTTGGGCCGGTCCATGTCCAAGCGGCCTGTTTTTTTCTGCTTTCTTCTTTCTACTTTAAATAATTCTGGACTTCAAAAAGTTCTCAAATTAAAAGAAATGGGAATTCTGAAATAATTTTTTAAATAAATCATAAAATGTTTGTGGCCTCAAAAAGTGTTCACAATTTTCTAAAAAATGTTTGCTTATTCAAAAAATGTTCGAAACTTTGAAAACAAATGTTCCATAAATCAAAAAATGTTCATGATTTTTTGAAAAGGTCATGTATGAAAAATGTTAATGAAATTGAATAAAAATTTGCCAATTTAAAAAATATTCATGAATGAACAAATATCTTAAAAATTAAAAAATCATTTGTGACTTACAAAATAGTTTATTCATGCATAAAATGTTCGCTGATTCAAAAGAGATTATGCATTTCAGAAAATGTTCGTTAAATAAAAAATATTCATGAATTTCAAAAGAAATCCCACCAATTTCCAAAACAATTTCATCCACTCAAGAAATGTTCGCCGATTCAAGAAATGTTTTTTAAATGTTTGCAAATTTTTAAAAATGTTTGCAAAAAATATAAAATATTCATGAATTTGAAAAATATCCTTAATTTTTGAAATTGATCAAAAATTTGTAGAGTGTTCATGAACTTGAAAAATGACCACGGTTTCAAATATGTTTATGCGTTTAAAATGTGTTCATGATTTCACAAAATTGAGAGTGGTATTGTATCTGGGTAATGCAGCAAAATGTGATCGTAGGCATTAAAGATTATAAAAAAAAATCCCGTTGCAACGCACGGGCCCTTTTGCTAGTAATAATAAAGTACGGATTGAGTCTCTGGGTTCACCATCGCGACGTTTTTCAAAAAACGTCTCTGTGATTTAGGGTAATACAACCCGCAGTCCACAATTAAGTGAAAAACGTTTCGTTCGGCATGTTTTTCAGAAAAACACCTCATATTTTACATAATCATCCCGCAGTCCACGATTAAGTGAAAAACGTTTCGTTCGGCATGTTTTTCAGAAAAACACCTCATATTTTACATAATCAGCCCGCAGTCCATCAACACCTCTTTCCTCCTGAGTCAGGTTCCGAGCGAGATGGGGTCGCGATCCAGACAACGCTGGGCGCGGCGGCGGCGATCTCCGGCCAGATCCGGTCGAGGAGTCGAGGCAGGTCCGGATCCTGTTTAGGGGACGGTGTGGAGGCGATCTACGAAGCGCGGGAGGAGGTCAGGCGGCGGGGCTTGAACTCCAAGTTCATGGCGGCGGCGTTCCTCGCCGGTTCCGACCGAGATGGGGAGCTCTGGCGGAGTCTCTCCATGGATATGGTGGCCCTGCACCTGTGAGGGACAGAGGGGAGGAGAGGACGCGAGAAGCGGCGGGAAAGTTCTGGTGGTGCCCGTCTCCTGCAACAGCTCTCTTGAGTACGGTCAGAGAGAGAGAGCCGGGAGGAAGAAGGAAAGGAAGGAGACTTCAGGAAGGGGCGGCGGGATCCTGCGGGGCTGGGTTGGAGCCCCGGTGGTAGCTTGCTCCGGTGGTGCTACTGCTGCTGCTGGACGACAGCCGATGGGACAAGGCCTAGGTAAGAGGAAAAACATGTGCTGCATTGACACATTTGATGCAGAGCAGCCACTGTAAGTTCCTCTCCCTTCTCTAATTAGTATTGAGATTCCATTGATATTTGATGGAGAGCAGCCACCAAAAGTTCCTCTTTTGATGCACCGAAAACAGCTCTCTCTCTAATTTATTCTCAGCTACAGAATGACATGTATCTATGCTACTTACTAATGTGATGGATAATGCATGTGGATTGATTCATGAATTAGCAAAATATTTCATTTGAGATGTGCTAGAGAACGGTTTTGATCTAACTGAATAATACAAAGTATTTTAGTTCTGATGGTAATAGACGAGCAACTTTAGTTGTATTTGGTTTCAGTTTTTGTTTTCAGTATATGTTGGTCAGGATTCAACTTTGTTTATGTCCATGTTTTGCTGGTATAATGCATCACCAAGCTTTCTTTTTGTATGATGATATTGTGTAAATCAGCATATGGATGTGGAAAATATTCTTAGCGGCATTAGCCTAGACAAGGATGTTGATGGTTAATTGTTTACATCCCTTAAACATTGGTAATGTTGCCCTTAGAAGCTGGAAACCTATGATTGTTTCTTGCGCTACAATATGGATTTATCTCATGGAAAGCACGCGTGGTGAAAGAAAGGTATTAGCCAATCCTACAAGTTTTGGTTTATTTTTCGGATAGTCCTTTTTGACTGATTAATCATGTGTGACGTTTCATGCAGTGATCTGTCCTAACCAGGAAGACAACACTGAGGTAGTACAGGTTACATCTATGTCCAGAGATGTGGCTAAGATAAAAGATGCTCACAGTTTGTTCATAATTTGATTTGATGAGGAATCCATAGGGTGGCGGATGTTTGCTATGAGGTGGTGTATGTACGTGCTACACCTCATGGCCGTGGCCTGCTTCCTGCAAGCCAATTTACTGCTTCTTCCGAGGTCATATAGTGATGCTATGGCACTGAGAATCTGAAGGTTAGTAATTCTATTCTATTCTTCTCTATTAAGAACAGTGTTATTTTTCATGATTTAGTGACTGCTGAGTGCTAATAAATTAATTCAATCATATTGGGCCATCTGTTATAGAGCTAAACGAACCATCTGAAGTGGGATGCATTGCATTTTCCCAACAGAATTTACAGTAGCACCAAGAAGGGTTGTGTCCATCATCCTCATCATGTCCGATCTAGGCCGCCGGAGCACCAAGTCGCTGGCCTATTCTAACAAGTCCAGGCCCTCGAGGCAGCCCTTCTCGCCGTGGAAGGAGACCCCGATCTGTAGGAACGTCGGGCATGGTCCCGTAATTAACAACAAGACTCTCCTCTGTCCATCCGCATAACTCCCATGAAGAAAAATCTCTAAACTCCAGTCACCACCTTTATGTCGATCTAAGCGGTGGAGAGTTTGGTATGGTGGCAAATCAAGCAACTGCGGATGGAGTCATTCCATGTTACTGCATTGAGTTAGCATACGCGGCATGGATGATAGATCAAACCCAAGTGATTTGGTTATTTAGAACAAAATCTAAGACTTGACCAAATGAAATTGGTATTTTGTTGAACTGAACGACACACATATTGCCTAACCATAATTATGTTACCTATCACGACCTCATGTGCTCCTGAAGCAAGCTGATGTGTGTTGTGTGTACACGTTGTACACTGAATTGTTCATGCGAAAAGATACAGCAGTAGATACAATCTACGCCATGGAGCCGCTGGTGGGGCTCGATGAGGACGAGCGCTAGAAGGAGGTGTGCATGATGCCCAAACGTGGCGTCGAGGCCTTCCACATCCGCACCCAAGCCGCGTCACTACCAAGCTGCTACAAGCATACAGGGCCTTCCGTGTTCAAGCTGAAAAGGCAAGAAGATCTCATTATTAACATGGATAAAAAAGGTGGAACGTCTTCTTCAGTAGAATTACACAATGGTTGGCTGAAGCTTTGGATTGCTAAAGTACCAAGAAAGGTAAAAATCCATCTTTGGTGTATTTATTTTCAGAGAATTTATGTTGGAGATGAGCTTAAGAGAAGAAAGTATATAGATATGGTAAGTTGTCCTTACTGCTTCAAGGGGGAAGCATTTATCACTGCTTTTGGGGTTGTATTTATGTCAGATTCCTGGAGGAAGCTGTTAGTAATTTGTGATTTCTCGTGATCTAAAATTGTCGATCGGAAATTTTCTTCATCGAAGCCCATTCCAATCGCCAACAATTCTGTTTGCACACTCAGGTTTGTGCTTTTCTATGGTGATTTATTAAACATACTTTGGCTTATGATCCCCTTTGACGTACACTTGTGCCCTCCACTACACATTATTTTCAGTTTGCCAAATACTGTAGTAGGTAATGAACTACAGAAAGCGGATTGTTGAGTTTACCAAGCATAATGGCACACCTAATTTTGGCAAATCACCTGAAGAGTATTTCAAGCAAAGATGCGTTGAGATTTTCACATGACTATATGAGGCCATAAACTCATGTATTGCCACAATAGCTTCTTTTAATGCAATAGGGAATTGTCTTTTTTTGTATCAGGTAAATAGTTCCTTTCTCACACTTTTTTCAGACCGAGATCGTGTGCTGCTGCTGTGCGGTGTTCTATTTCTGCTGTATTCTTTTTGCTTTTTTGGGGGGCTTCTTCTCATTCTTCTTTGGCACCTACGCTCTACTTGGGGAAACTTTGTACATGGCAATACATAGATTGGTATTGAGATTTGGAGCAATTTTGTTCGTTTTCCTGTGTACCGATGTTGCCATTATTTGTGCGATGATGCCATTATATTGTACAAAGGGAAGAGACAGTTAGAGAGATGGATAGAAATTACTAGCTACTGTATTTGTGTTGTAATTGTTTATTATTAAAGCTTATTGTTTATTGGTTGTTATTGCAGATTGTTGGGATATAAAGTCAATTTTGATTATTTCAAACTAATGTCAGGTTGAATAATTTGAACTAGACTACAACATGTTGATCTCGATGAGTTTGAACATGATTAACATGATTGTGCAATTATTAGTGAGTAAAACAGGTGGGTGAGGTATTTTTACTTCCGGTGCATGTTGACATGCCGCGTTCATGGGCGTGTTAGTGGACACATCAATTTTTCCCCGTAGCAACGCACGGGCATATGTGCTAGTATGTATATATAAAAGAAGAATGCAATAAAAGCCTTAATGCAATGCATTGTTTATTAAAAAACATGCGTTAGAGCAGAATGATACAGGTAGTGCGATAAGCAAAAAGTAGGACTATGTCCCCTCCAAGGGCAAGCTGAGGAATAATATTAAAGCAAGTATTTCACTCGTTATCGTAATCCACCTGGGAGTTCCGTGGTGTGATGTAGCTTTCTGCCTTCTTGGTTGCTGCATCATGTGTTCGGCAATCATGCTGCTGGACAGGGTTCCAGAGATTAATGTCCTGAAAGAGAGAAAAATAACAAAGCAGGAAGCCCCTAGTGTGGTTTAAGCCGCGACTTGGGGCGTGCTACCGTCGTGCCCCCCTCCCCGCCTGTGCCCATGGTATTTTTAATGCGTAATTATGTACGCATGGCATGGATTTCGCCGTTTGGGTGGGACCGGGGTGGGGGCCGCATTGCTATGCGAGCTCGGAATGTGCCAGGCGGTCCTGTTGCCGATTACTCCGGGCGCGCTTGAAGGTGTTCGGGTCCTTAAACGCCGAACTAGTGGATTGCCTTAAGAGGCTGCTTTGCGCTTCCGCTGCGAGGGCCGCAGTGTGCTCCTCCATTCGGAGAGAGCGCTCTGTGTTTCCATTAACCGTAATGACCCCCTAAGGTCCTGACATCTTGAGCTTGAGGTATGCATAATGCGGTACCGCATTGAATCTCGCAAATGCGGTTTGCCCGAGCAGTGCATGATAACCACTGCGGAACGGGACTATATCAAAAATTAACTCTTCGCTTCGGAAGTTATCCGGGGATCCGAAGACCACTTCCAGTGTGACTGAGCCTGTGCAATGGGCCTCTACACCTGGTATGATGCCTTTAAAGGTCGTTTTTGTGGGTTTGATCCTTGAGGGGTCTATACCCATTTTGCGCACTGTGTCCTGATAAAGCAGGTTTAGACTGCTGCCGCCATCCATAAGGACTCGAGTGAGGTGAAATCCGTCAATGATTGGGTCTAGGACCAGTGCGGCAAATCCGCCATGACGGATACTAGTGGGGTGGTCCCTACGGTCGAAGGTGATCGGACAGGAGGACCATGGGTTGAACTTTGGGGCGACTGGCTCCAACGTATACACGTCCCTGAGCGCACGCTTCCGCTCCCTCTTGGGGATGTGGGTTGCATATATCATGTTTACCGTCCGCACTTGTGGGGGGGACCTCTTCTGTCCTCCGGTGTTCGGCTGCCGGGGCTCTTCCTCGTCATCGCTATGTGGCCCCTTATCTTTGTTTTCGGCAATTAACTTGCCGGCCTGCTTGAACACCCAACAATCCCTGTTGGTGTGGTTGGCTGGCTTGTCTGGGGTGCCGTGTATTTGACACGAGTGATCGAGTATACGGTCCAAACTGGACGGGCCCGGAGTGCTTCGTTTGAATGGCTTTTTCCGCTGACCGGGTTTAGAGCCTTTGAATCCGGCATTGACTGTCATATCCTCAGTATTATCGTTGTTAATGCGGCGCTTATGTTTGTTGCGACATGACCTGCTATTACCGTCCTTAGTATCCGAAGTACCATGGTTCTTTGATATGTTATTACTGCGAGCCTGCCAGCTGTCTTCTCCCGCACAAAAGCGGGTCATGAGTGTCGTGAGGGCTGCCATAGATTTCGGCTTTTCCTGACGAAGGTGCCGGGCTAGCCACTCGTCGCGGATGTTGTGCTTGAAAGCTGCTAGGGCCTCTGCATCCGGACAGTCGACAATTTGATTTTTCTTTGTTAGGAACCGTGTCCAGCATTGCCTGGCCGATTCCTCTGGCTGCTGAATTATGTGGCTCAAGTCATCAACATCTGGTGGTCGCACATAAGTGCCCTGAAAGTTGTCGAGGAATGCGGCTTCAAGATCTTCCCAACAGCCAATGGACTCTGCTGGCAGGCTATTGAGCCAATGCCGAGCTGGTCCTTTTAGTTTGAGTGGGAGGTATTTAATGGCGTGTAGATCATCACCGCGTGCCATGTGGATATGTAGGAGGAAATCCTCGATCCATACCACATGATCTGTTGTACCGTCGTATGATTCTATATTTACGGGTTTGAAACCCTCTGGGATTTGATGATCCATTACTTCATCTGTGAAGCATAAGGGGTGTGCGGCACCTCTGTACTGGGCTATATCGCGACGCAGCTCCAATGAGTCTTGCCCGCTGTGCTCGGCCCGACCGGATTTACTTTTACTGTATCCGGCGTGACGATTATCGTCTCGCGTAGTGGCGCGCCCCCGCGATCCGTAGACCGATCTTACGTGTTTTGCTTTGTCCACCAATACGTCTCGTAGGTCTGGCGTATTTCCCCATGCCTTTTTATTTGAATGGCGTCGGGGTGCAGGCTGAGCTCTTGATTCCACTAATGATTCTCTTAGCCAAGTTACACTTGAGCAAGAAAATAGCTTATTGAAGGGAATTATAGAGAAAGGAGTGTACAAAAGCCTTGCCGGGAGTAAGCAATTCGAGGAAATTGTGCGCAAGCAAGGAATGCACCGGAAGAATCAAGGTGTTGGTTTTGAACGAAAGTTCAATGCCAATGGAGTTGAGTGGGAAGAAGATCAATACCCCAAGACAAAGTTTGTTTCTCAACAAGAGAAGTATGATACTTCTTTCAAGGGGACACAAGCTCAAGATGATCTTGCACCACAAGACTACAAGCAAAAAGGCAAGGACAAGCTTCAAGAGGAAATTGATGCATTTGAAGAAGCTCCTAAGACCTTAGTCAAGTGGATTCCCAAGACTACTTCAAGTTCCACTTCATCAAGTACGACTACAACTCCAAGGATTCCCATCAAGATGGTGTGGATCCAAAAGAAGAAGAACTAGAGAGTTCTTGAGGGTGACTCCGCCAACATACTTCACTCTTATCATTTTGGCAAGAACAAGTGCAATCAACTTCCACATCTTGCACTAGTTCAAGGAGTCACAAACCCTCTTGTTGGTAAGACAAGGGACAAGGTAACCTAAAAGTTTTCATGGACATCATCTTGTGTGTGCATCACTCTATGTCTATGGATATCCTTGTTTGTTCCTTGTGGGACTAACCCATGTAGGTATTGAAAGTGCAATTCACTCAAATGGATAGCTCCAAGTGATCTACATCAACATTGAGCATCCACATCTTCAACATCTACATGAAGTCATCATCGACAAAACCCGAGGTTAGTTCATCCCTCTAAGGGGGGGAATATCACATCTAGGGGGAGCTTTACTCTAAGACTTGAGATAAAGCAACTCTAAAGATGTGAACACAACAATGCTTTATGTAAAAGTGGTAACCCCACTTGAGCTTAAACGATGAGTATGACCTATGATCAAATGTTCTCTCTTGACTCCTAAGTCAATATACTCATATATAGATGACCTTGTCATCGCAAATTGCTTGATAGATGCTAGAATTGGTTGTGCATGCCTTGTCACATATTTCATTTGCCATCTTATTGTGTGAGCATGATGGTTGCATATTTTACTCATTCGAGGACATCCACTTGTTGTTTTGATTGTTTGGTTTTATTTCCTTTTGCCAAGTGGATGGACAAGAATGCCTAAGAACCTCCTCTAGCTATCTATGCTTTTCTCGTCTCAAACTCTATTCATGCTACATCACAATATTTGATCAAGTTAGATTCGAACCACTCTGTGTGAGGAGCGCTCGGAGTCCCCGATTCGTCATAGACTTAAACTTCCAAAACCTCTTTATGATTCTCGGTCTGACCGATACCCTACTTTCGGTCCTACCGAGATCATTAAGTTGATCTAGGTTTTCGATCTCGGTGCAACTGATTTGAACCATACGGTCACACCGAGTTGCAACAACTGTATACAGTTTTGCATCTCGGTGCCACCGAGTTGTTCCACTCGGTCACACCGACAGGGTCGGGCTATATATAGTCACGGGCAAAATTTTGGAAATTTCTCCGAACCCCTTCGCCCGCGCGATAGCCTGCTCTGCCAACTTGGTCTCTGGATCATCTCCTCGCCGCCTCCAGTCGCTGGTCTCCGTTGCCGTCAACGGAAATTCAACCCCGCCGTTGCCGCCGTAGCGAGTCTCCGCCGAACTAGGGTATGGACTCGATCTTTGTGCTATTCCCCAATTCGATTCTTAGCACATTGTGATCATCATGATTCTTGCCACGTTTGTTAAACTTCTATCCAGTCAATGAACTCGTAGATTAGGTTTAATTCAAAAAATTTAGGGTTAGGTTTCCACCGAAACCATCTCGGACCCACCGAGTTGAAAAACTCGGTCCCACCGATTTGGCTTATGCCATTGCACAAGTGAGACTCGGTCTGACCGAG